CCGGGGCCGGGCCGCGCCGGGACCGATCGCGGCGCGATGCAGAAATACGAGAAGCTGGAGAAGATCGGCGAAGGTGCGGCAGGGCCGGGGCCGTACGCAGGGAGGCGGGTGCTGTGGGGCCCGGCGGCGGTGTCGGTACAGGTACCGGGAGCTCGGCCGTGACCCCCTTCCGCCTCCCGCAGGCACCTACGGGACCGTGTTCAAGGCCAAGAACCGGGAGACGCACGAGATCGTGGCGCTGAAGCGGGTGCGGCTGGACGACGATGATGAGGTGAGGGGGGGCCGGGGCTGGGATCCTCCCGGGATCCCCCCGGGACACCCCGGGACCCCCCGGGACTCCCGCGCATCCCCCGGCTCCCACAACCCGGCGTGTCCCGCAGGGAGTGCCCAGCTCGGCGCTGCGGGAGATCTGCCTGCTCAAGGAGCTCAAGCACAAGAACATTGTCAGGTACCGGGGGGCTCTGGGAGGTACCGGGGCTGGGGGGTCGTGGCTCGGGGACCGCTCCTGCCGGGTGTCCCGGGCCCGGCCGGGCGCTGGGGGGCTCAGGGACCCCTCCCTCGCAGGCTCCACGACGTTCTGCACAGCGACAAGAAGCTGACTCTGGTCTTTGAGTTTTGTGACCAGGTGAGCACCGCAGATACGGGGGTCCTGGGGGGGCACGGGGGTCCCTGGGGGTCTCTGGGAGTCACCGCTCCCGGCCACCCTTTGCTTCCCCCCAGGACCTGAAGAAATACTTTGACAGCTGCAACGGGGATTTGGACCCCGAGATTGTCAAGGTGGGTTTGGGAGTCCTGGGGAGCCCCCGGGGTCCCGGCTGTGCCCTGTGGGGGTGCTGGGGGCTGACGGACCCCGCCTGTGCTCCCCCACAGTCCTTCATGTACCAGCTGCTGAAGGGCCTCGCGTTCTGCCACAGCCGCAACGTCCTGCACCGGGACCTGAAACCCCAGAACCTGCTCATCAACAGGGTGGGCATGGGGGGAGAGGGGTCTCGGGGGAAAGGGATCGGGACAAGGGGTGATGGAGTAGGGCTGTCTGTCAGGGCAGGCACACCTGGGAGCAGGGGCTGTGCTCAGGGCTTACACTGGGAACCGGGGTCTGTCTGTCTGTCTGTCTGTCTTGGGGAGTCACACCTGTGACTGTCCAGCCACAGTTGCAGCTCCGTCTCTCCCATGTTCCCAATGGTGGGAAAGGCAACAGGGCCGCTGTTCCTGGGGTGCGGGGGACACAGGTGGGGCCCCCGACGCTGACCCCGTCTGTCCCCCCAGAATGGGGAGCTCAAGCTGGCGGATTTCGGGCTGGCTCGGGCCTTTGGCATCCCTGTGCGCTGCTACTCAGCCGAGGTGAGCAGGGCCTCGTGGGGCTCATGGGGCTCGGAGTCCTGGCCCCATCTGCCTGGCTGGGGTTCTTCTTGTCCTTGTCCAATTGTCCCTGTCCCTCCCCAGGTGGTCACTCTGTGGTACCGGCCCCCTGATGTTCTCTTCGGTGCCAAGCTCTACTCCACCTCCATTGACATGTGGTCAGCTGGGTGCATCTTTGCGGGTACACTGGGGGGCCGGGGGAGTGGAGAGGGACCTGGGGGGCCATGGGGGCCTGTGGTAACCACCCCCTGTCCCCCCAGAACTGGCCAACGCGGGGCGGCCCCTCTTCCCGGGCAACGATGTGGATGATCAGCTGAAGAGGATCTTCCGATATCCTTGGGAATGGGGAACCCCAGAACGGACTGCCTGGGAACGGGGAGCTCAGGGAGTGGGGAACCCAAAGGGATGGGGAAACCCTTGAATGGAGAGCCCCCAGGAAATGGGGAAATCCCCTGGGAATGGGGAGGCCTGCGGGCATGATGATCGCTTGGGAATGGGGAGCCCTGCAGAATAGGGACCCCTAGGGAATGGGGATCTCTGGGTATGAGGATCCCTTGGAATGGGACAACCCACCAGGCAGGGCAAGGGGGCACGCGCTGGGTACCCTTGACTGCCCTGGTGGCCCTTGACTGTCCCCACGCTGCTGGGGACCCCTACGGAGGAGCAGTGGCCGGCCATGGCCAAGCTGCCAGACTACAAGGTGAGGGCAGGAAATCCGGGGGGTCAGAGGGAATAGGGGGCTCTGGGGGAGCTGGGGGTCACCTGGGTCACCTGTGTGTCCCCAGCCCTACCCCATGTACCCAGCTACCACCTCCCTGGTCAACGTGGTTCCCAAGCTGAATGCGACTGGCCGGGACCTGCTGCAGGTGAGACGCTGCCTCTGTCCCCTTGCCTGTGCCACTCCCGCCTGTGTCCCCCCCGCCTGTGTCCCCTAGCCTGCACTGCCCCTGCTCGTGTTCTATCGCTGTGTCCCCCACACCTGTCACCCCTGCCCACCTCATGGGGGCTCTGGCTCCTGGGAGTGGGTGCCCTCCCCCCTCGCAGCCCCCTGCCCAGCTGGGGGGGCTGTGGGATGGGGAGGGTCTGTGCTCTCCCCCCTCAGCCCCCCGTGCCCCCCAGAATCTGCTCAAGTGCAATCCGGTGCAGCGGATCTCAGCGGAGGAGGCCCTGCAGCACCCCTACTTCACCGACTTCTGCCCCCCTTAGGGCCCCCCGACTCCCCAGACCCCCCCTGAGGGGGGGCAGCCCCGAGCCCCCTGCACCTGGGTGCCAGCCCATGCCAGCCCCCCCGAACTGCAGCCCCCCCCTCCCTCCGGTATTTATTAGGTTCTGCCCTGGCTGCGGGGGGCTGGTGCAACCCTGCTGGACCCCCAGCCCCGGGGGGGGTATGAGAGGGCTTGGACCCCCCCCAGGGAAACGGGATTCACCTGGGGGCAGGGGATTCCCAAGGGCATGGGAACCCCCAGGACACGGGGCCACACGGCTGGTGGAGGGGCAGGACCCTCCGGGACCAGGCACAGGGACCCAGGGGGGGAATACACCCCCCACTCTCCTCTCCCTGCTCCCCCCGACCCCTCCTCTGCCGGGGGGTCCCGGGTGTGCCCTGTGCCAGGGCACTGCTGTACATGGGTGATGTGCATTCGGTTTCCCATAAAGAGCTTCCCCCCAGCGCCGCCTCCTCCTTCCTGGGGTGTCGGGAACCCCCCTGCCAGCCCCTGACCCCTAACCCAGCCCTGTGACCCCCCTGTGTTGCCTTCTCCTTCCCGGAGCGTCCCGTCCCCCCCAGCAGCCCGGAGCCAGGGCCTGGGGCACCTCTTTATTTGGGGGGGCTGTAGGGAGGGGGTGCATGTCCAGCGCGAGGGGGCACAGGCAGCGCATGCAGGGACGTGGGAGCAGGGCCGGGGGGGGGCCCTCACCCCCAGCCCCCCGACACCCCCTCAGGGGGCACGGGAGGCCTGGAGGCCGCCCCGCGGCCCGGGAGTGTCCCCCCAGCCCCCCGGCCGGCGGGGGGGCGGGCTGGGCTCTGCGGGGGGGCCCGGGGGGGACCCTAGAGCCGGGTGACGAGGTAGCAGGTTCGGGGTGACGCCGAGACGGGGCGTGGGGCCGGGCAGGGGGGGCCAGGCGCTCTGCAGGGGGGTCGGGGGGTCAGCTCCCACTGCCATCCCCCTGCCTGCTGGGAGGCTCTGCCCCTTGCCCCCTCCCCTAGTGCCCCCCAGGGTGGCCCAGGAGCCCTCCACTTGGGCAGGGGACACCACGCGGCCAAGCTGGAGCCCCTCCCGTGCCCCCCACCCGGCCCCCCCCTCCTTCTCCACTGTGTCCCAGAGGGGAGGTTGGGGGACCCCAGCCCAGCTGAGGGGTGTCAGGGCAGGGAGTGCCCCGGAACAGGGTGCTGTGGGGGGTGATGAGGATGGGGGATGTGTGCAGGGAATGGGGGGAGTCACCGGGGAATGAGAGCTCTGCAGAGAATGCCGGGGGTTCGCAGGGAATGCGGGAGATCTGCAGGGAATGGCCCTGGGGAGCCCCCCAGGGACCCCCACCTTCCCCCGGGGAGTGACAGCCCCACGCCCCCGCGCCGGCCCCCGGGGGGCTCTGGTTGCCCCCCCACGTGTACCTGGGTGGGCGCGGGGCCGTGGGGCTGCCCGGGACCGCCGGGTGCTCCTGGACGGGCGGTGAGAGAGCGGTGAGCGGGGGGATGGGGAGGTGCGAGCCCTGGGCTGGGGGCTGGGGAGGGGGGGGCACGGGGGGGTTACCAGGGTGCCGCCATCGCTCCGGGGACTCCGCTTCTTCTCCTTGTACAGGCTGAGCAGTTTGTCCCGGAACACCTGGGGGGGGGGGGGGGGGGGGCAGGTGAGAGTCCCAGCCCTGAGACCCCCGGGCAGGGGGAGGCCAGGCTGGGCTCACCTCGTACAGGTAATCAAAGATCTCCAGGATGGTGAGGAGGCTGGCACCGATGAAGAGCCCCATTTGCCCCCCGATGTCACCTGTTCGGGAGGTGACAGGTGTCAGTGAGGGCAGAGCCCTGGTCCCCCTGGCACCCCCAGACCCCTGTCCCTCACCCAGCAGCCCCGCCACCTCGTACGCCTTCTTCTGCTCGATCATCTCGTAGTTCAGCGCCTCGAAGAAGATGTCCAGGACCAGCACATTGTCCCTAGGGACACAGGGGACACAGGGGACGAGAGGGCAGTGTCAGGCTGTGCTGTGTCAGGCTGAGGGGGCAGGACTATGCCGTGGGGTACTGTGGGGCAGTGCAGAGAGGTGCCCAGTGCCAGGCCGTGCTGTGCCATGCCAAGCTGAGCCATGCCGTGCTGTGCCATGTGGGTTTCCCGTTCCTGGGACACAGGGGAGGCCATGCCGTGCCATGCTGTGCCATGTCATGCTGTCACACCGTGCCATGCTATGTCACAGCATCATTTTGGGCTGTGTGTGACGGGGATGCCGTGTGTGGCTGTGTCACACTGCCATGCTGTCCCAGTTCATGTCTGCTGGGGGATGCTATGTGGGTGTGCCGTGTCACACTGTCACTCTGGGCTGTGCCAGTTCATAGATGCTGGGGACGTTGTGTCACACGTCATGTCGTGGGGCCATGCTGTGCCATGTCACACTGTCACTCTGTGCCGTGTGACGCCAGTTCTCATGCTGGGGCTGTGGGGCTGTGTCACGCTGTGCGCTGGCGAGGCGGTGGGTGACACCGCAGTGACACCGCAGTGGTGGCAGTGTCACTCACGCAATGTACTGCTCCGTCTTGTTGAACTTCTTGGCCAGGTACTTGGCCGAGGCCTTGCTGGGGATCTTGACCATGGAGAGCTCCTTGCCGTAGCGCACCATGGCGCAGGGCGTGCGGCACGCGCAGTACTCGCTGTCCTTCGTCACCAGGAAGTCTGGGGGGGCGTGGGTGGGACCGGGACCCCCAGCACCCCAGCCCACGGGGGGAGGCGGGATGCCCCGGGGACAGAGCTGGGTGGTGGTGGTGGGTCCCACCCGGGACAGGTGTGGCACAGGGAGGGGGCACGGCCCTGCGCGTCTGGGGACAGCAGTGACAGTAGTGACCCCCACCCCAGCGAGGGCACAGGGACACCAGAGCCACGCTCACAGTGCTGGGGACACAGGGACACCGGAGCTGCACTCACAGAAATGGGGACACGGGGAGGCTGAGGGGTTCCAGGGACAGGCCAGGGGTGTCCGGGGCCACTGGGGGCCCGGGGTACGTACCCAGCGCGGGGTCGGCGCACTCCTTGTACTGCTCGGGGGTGCAGACGTTGGCATTGCCTGCGGGGGAGCGGCGGTCGCAGGGGCGGGGATGGCCCGGGCAGCCCCGCAGCCCCCCGGCCGCCCCCCCCGCTCACCCGGCATGTGCACCATGCGGCAGTTGCAGTTCTCGGCCAGGTAGCGCGTCTCGCAGTCCAGGCGGCACGCCGTCAGGCTGTAGTTGGTGAAGAAGTCGGACTCGATGGGGGTGGCCTTGCAGTCCCCCCACGGCGGGGGCAGGTACACCAGCTGCCGGGCACCCGCTAAGGAAAACACGGCGTCCTGGGGCCCCGTGGCAACCCCGATGTCCCGGTGTCATACCCGGCCACCCGCCACCGCCCTGCAGTGCCGTCCCTCGGGCAGAGCTCACCCCGCACAGCCAGTGCTGGGGGTCCTGCCACCCCAGAGCCCCCGTCCCACCCTGTCCCCTCCTTTCGGGGCACGGGGATGGCTGTTGCAGCAGTTGTCACCTGTAGTGGGTGCCACCGCGAAGTCTGGCAGGCGGCACAGTGTGGGAGCATGCAGGAACAGGACATACCAGGTGGGGGCTCAGCACGGACCCCCACCCTCCCCTCGGTGCCTGGTGCAGGGATCATGCCTGGTGAAGACCCAGCTCCCCCCCACCCGTGGGTGCCAGGGCCGCGTTCCTGCTGCCGCCGTGCTCCTGTCGCCCATGCGCCGGCACACGTGGTGACACCCACCCGAGGCACCTAAATTTAGGTGTCTGGCTGCGGGGGCCGGTGCCACCACCCCCCCGGCGGCTGTTCTGCAGGAGCCGGGGGTCGCTGCCGGAGCCCTGCCTGCACAGGGGCTGCCTGCACCTGCCGTGGGGCTGCCCCACACCCTGTGCTGCTCTTGTGGCACGGTACCCATAACATGGCTGGGCACGGCCCGTCCCCACGGAGAAGGCAGTGGTACCCATGGGGATGTCTGTGGCAACACAAGGCCATCCCGAGCCCTTTGAGGGTCCATCCCAATCCCTCCAGGGGCCCATCCCGATCCCTCGGGGTCTGTGCCCAGCCCCGGGCGCCGTGCCCGGATACCCGCTGCTGCTGGCAGGACACGAAGGTCTGGAAGCCAGGGGCGACGCCGAAGCCCAGCTGGTCAATGAAGGGCGGCTCGTCCTGGCTGTGGATCTGCACCTTCACCCCCACCTCAAACGAGGTCTCATCTGCAGAGCAGGGCAGGGGGTCAGGTGCAGGGCAAGGGATCTCAACCATGTCCCCCCAGAAGGGCAGGGTCTCACCTGTGTCCCCCCAGACGGGCAGGTACTCCTCCTGCTGCACATTGAGCATGAGCTCGAGGCCGTTGCCGGAGCCGCCCTGCAGCGTGGTCAGCACCTCGCGCCCTGGCCCCCCGGGGTTGAACGTGTAGCACTTCCCCAGGCGTGTGAAAATCTGCAGGGACACGGGGCACACATGGGACATGGCCACGGGGACATGGCAGTGGAGATTCCAGTGCCCCACATGAGCCAGGACAGGATCCCAGTGCCCTACAGGACCCAGGATGGGGTCCCAGTGTGCCCTGGGATAGGATGCCAGTGCCCCCAGGAGAAGGCGAGGACGCTGATGGTGCCTGTGCCTGTGCTGCCGCGGCTCTGCAGGGATATTGGGTTTCGTCGCGGTTCCAGGGAACATGTGGGGACAACTTGAGATGGGAGGGCACAAGCCAGAACGGTGATGGGGACTCCTTTGTCACAGCGGCAGAAGCCACCTTGTCCCCCCCCAGGACCCGAGAGCCTGTCCTGGGCCAGCCACCCCAGGGACCTGCACCCCCAACCAGGAACCCTGGGGTGACCTTGAGTTCTCAGGGATCAGTACCCACAGCCAGGGATCCTGGGGTGACCCTGAGCCCCCAGACTGGTCCCGTGGCCCCCCAGCTCCTGCCATACAGTCCCGTGACGTCATGGCCCTCTCTGCTATGGGTGCCCCCACCCGGGGGTTATGTCCCACGGGGGGGAGGGAGGGGGCGTTGCTGTGGCAACCAGCTGCTCCCAAAGTGGGGACCCGTTGCCATGGCAATGCGGTGCCCAAGGAGGAAAGGGGGGGGCGGGTGTCATGGCAACGGCTGCCCAGCTTGGGGATGCTGGGGGGGGGGGCATGGGTGGGGACAGTGATGGGGACATGGCCCCAGCACTGCCAGTCCTGTGCTCCACACTCAGGGTCACACAGGGACCCACAGCCCTGCGCCCTGGGGACCCCCAGCACTGCTCCCCAAAGATCCCCTGTCCCCCATACCCTCATCCTGCCCCATCCAACTCGCCTTGGAGGAGGCGAGATGAAACGCAGCTCACACTGATGGCCCTTGGGCCCTCACCACATGTCCAGGAACCTCAGGGACACTGGGGCCCGGGCTGGGATGAGGGGCAGGGACACAGTGCCAGAGCTTAGCACCGTGGCCCAGGGCAGAGGATCCCAAACCAGGACCAAGACTGGCCGAGCCTGGGGATTTTGGGGGGATTTTGGGAGCCAGGACCCTGCTGCTTAACCAGGCACATGCCACCCACCCCAAGTTGTGCACTTGGGACCCTCCTGCCACGTGTCCTGGCACTCAGGGGCCATCACCACTGCCTAGCCGTGCTAAAGGGACACTGGCAGGGCAGCTGTGGCCACGGGCACTGGGACACGGGGGCAACAGAGGGAGCACGGGGGGCACAGACCTCTCAAAGGGCAGCTCGTCCCTCAGCTGCGTGGTGAATTAATTAGCGCTTTAAGAGCATTAAGGTGACAGTAATTGCTGGGGACAGTGATGTGGACTGGGCAGAGCTGGCATGGCAGACTGAGCTGCCCAGTGCCCACGCTGCTGCCTGGTGCTGCTGTGGCAGGAGGGAAGTGTCTGTGCTGCCCAAGCCGCCATCACTGCCTGTGCCAATGTCCCTGCCTGTCCTGCCCATGTCACCGCCACACCCCACTCTGCCTGTGCCACCGTCCCTGCCCGTCCCAGTGTCCCTGCCTGCCACACAAGTGTCATCATCCCTGACTGTGCCACTGCCCCTGCCCTGTTCTGGGGGCCGCAGTGGGGGGTGCTGGGGGCAGGAATGGGGCTGCTGGAGGTAGGGGTGGAGAGTGCTGGGAGCAGCAGTAGGTGCTGCTGGGGGTCACAGCAGGGCTGGCACAGCTGCCAGGCATGGAAGAGCTGCCTATGGGAGCCTCTGTGCCAACAGTCAGGGCAGTGGCTGCTGCTGGCAGTGCCTAGTGGCACCTGAGGCTGGCACAGCCGGTGGGGGATGCACCTCTGAGCACCCTATACAAGTGACACTCCTATGCAGGAGAGCACCCTGTACCCGTGAGCACCCCATAATCCTGAGCATCCTGTGCCCACCACCACCCCTGCCCAGTGCCTGCATGCCAGCAGAGACCCCCAGCCAGCACGGGGTGCCCAGCACAGCCCCGCTCCATCCCGGGCACTGTTGGCAGTGCTGGCACCCCTGCAGCACCCAGGGCAGGCGCATCCCTGTCTGGCAGCTGCTGTGCCCAGCGGGCTGGGCAGGGGCTGAGCGCTGCTGCTGGTGGCATAAGAGAGGGGCATCACCTGCCGGTGCCTGACCTCAGCAGGACTCCCGTGTCCCTCCGCAGCCCCGGGGCACTCAGTGGGTCCCCTCCCCACCCTCCTGGCACTCACCACGGTGAAGTTGCGGGCAGTGCAGCCGGTGCCACGGAAGGAGCACTGCAGCAGCATGTCAGCCAGGTCGTGGCCCGTGCGGTTGTAGAACTCGGCCATGCTGAAGGGCTTCGCCTTGAAGTTCTTGAAGTTGGCCTTGTCGCGCAGCGCGTCCAGGACGTGGGGCTCAGCCAGCTGCGGGTTGCTGATCTCGTAGCGCTCGTTGAGCAGCGCCAGCAGCTCGCCCACGTGGTACATGTCGTTGCGGGTGATTTTGGAGAAGCGGAACTCGTTGAGGTTGCAGATGGTGATGGCCGGGAAGGTGAGGTTGCGGGCAGCCACCTCGTCCAGCTTGGTGACGTGCGGGTAGGTGAGGAAGTAGGCGACGCGCTCGGCGCACACGAGCAGCAGCAGCCCCAGCGAGCCCAGGAAAAAGCCGCCCCAGAGCACGCGGCGCAGGGACACGGCCCCGTAGGCGAAGACGTGGCTGATGCCGTGCAGCGAGGAGCTGTGGGCGAAGGCCCGCAGGCTGGAGAGCCCCTCGCCCTCCCCGCTGCCCTCCGAGCCCCTCCTCATCCTGTTGCGGCCGGGGCCCCGCGGTGCCCCGCAGCCTCAGCCCATCGCCGCGCCGGGCTCAGGGCGCAGCTGGCGGGGAGGGGAGGGGGAGGAGGGTGGGCAGGGGAGAGGAAGGCAGGAGATGAGATGGGAGGGCAGGACCGGCCGCTTCGCTCCCCCGGTCCTTCACGCTGCCGGTGCCGATGCTGCCCGGCCGGTGCCGCGGAGCCGCGGGCAGCGCAGCGCAGCCCCCGTCCCTGTTCCAGCCCTAGCCTCAGCCCCGGTGGCGGTCTCGGTTCCGATCCCGGTTCGAGCCCTGGTCCCGGATCCGGTCCCGATTCCAGCCTCGGTCCCCCTCCTGATCCCGGTCCCGGATCTAGTCCCAGCCCCGATCCTAGTTCCAGCTCCAGTTCCAAGCCCAGCCCCGGTCCCGCTCCCGGCTCTCGGCTCCGCTCCCACCGCGGCGCAGCCGCCGCCGGTCCCCGCCGCCCCCCGCCGCCGCCGCCCCCGCCCCTCCCGCTCGGCTCCACCCGCCGCCCCCGCCGGCGGCCGCAGCCTTGGGGTACGGGGGGGGGCCGAGATCCCCGGGAAAGGGGGGTATCAGACAGCGCCCCTTCATCGGGCAGCCATGGGGAACCCATCTCGGGGGTCATACGGCGGTCCCCCCATCCCCGGGATCACACAGGGGTCCCTGCACCCCGCGAAGTGATGCAGTGGAGTCTTCACCCCAGAAAGATGTCACAGGGTCCACCTTCTCCGGGGGTGACACAGGAGTTTCCCGTTCAAAGGCTGACCTATGGGATTCCCCACCCCGGGGAAGTCGTGCAGGGCTAATCCTATCCCAGGGGTCACACAGGGGGCCCCCCCGCCTGGAGGGGTCGACACAAGGGTCCCCTACCTTGAGGGGCAGCACAGGACACGGTCCATCCCGTGGCGTTAGGAAGAGGTAACCCTCATTCCAGGGCTCCCCTATCCCGGGGTCATGCAGAGGGTCCCTGCCCCAGAAAGGTGACACAGGGTCCCTTCACTCCAGGCGTGATAGAGGGGTTCCCACCCTGGAGGGTGGCACAGGCGACCCCCCTCACTCCAGCGGGGGGGTCACACGGGGGTCACCCCATCCCAGAGGTCACCCAGGGGTTCCTCCCCCCTGGAACTGACACACGAGCCCCCTGCCCCGGGGGTAATATCGGGGTCCTCCATCACAGAAATCACGCAAAGGCTCCTCCATCCCGGGGGGGGGGAATGCAGGGGTGCCCCATCCCGAGGTCACGTCGGGGCTCACCCCTCCAATCCCGCGGGGGTGCCGCAGCGGTTCCTCACTCGGGAGTGACAGGGGTGCCACACTCCACGGGTGACACACGGGACACCCTGCCCCGGGGGCCACACAGGGAACGCTCACCCCGACAGGGCCGCACAGGGGTCCCGCACCTCGGGGGGGTCACACGAAGCAGGGGTGACACGGGGGACACGGGGGACACCCCGCCCCGCGGGGCAGGGCGGCAGGGGAGGGGCGGGGCCAGCCCTGTTAACCACGCCCACAAAAACATCACTCAACCCGGCTCCGCCCATGACCCCGCCGCCTCTCCGGTGCCACAGGCGCCCTCCAGCGGCCCGGAGGACCCTTCGCAACGTCCCGCCACAACGCGGAGCCGCCTGGGTCCGCCTTCCACCCCTGGTTTATTGGGGAGCAGCGGGGGGACCCCCTCAGGACCCTTCCTTGGTCTGCTGTCGGATGAGCTCGGCGTAGAGCCCTCCCCGCCGCACCAGCTCCTCGTGAGTCCCTGCCTGCGGAGACAGAGGGGACAGCCGGGTGGTGTCACCTCTCTCCCGGTGACCGCGCCCGCCCGTCCCCGCCCTGCCCCGCGTCTCACCTCGACCACGCGGCCCTGGGCCAGCACGGCGATGCGGTGCGCGCCGCGGATGGTGCTGAGGCGGTGGGCGATGAGCAGCACGGTGCGGCCGGTGGCCGCCCGGTCCAGCGCCTCCTGCACCGCCCGCTCCGCCTGCGCGTCCAGCGCGCTCGTGGCCTCGTCCAGGATGAGCACGGCCGGGTCCTTGAGCAGCGCCCGGGCGATGGCGATGCGCTGCTTCTGTCCCCCCGACAGCGCCGTGCCCCGCTCGCCTGCGGGACACCGCGGGGACACGATCCCAGGGGACCACCCAACCCACAGCCAGGGAACCCCCCAGAATGTCCCTGCCACGCCAGCCTGGGGAGAGCCCCCACCCGTCCTGCTCAGAGCCCAGCGTGGCCACAGCTCCCTTTGGCACAGCTGGACATCAGCAGTGACCAGCAGCCAGTGTCCCTGCAGGCCCGGGATCACCTCAGTGGGGTCCCACTCCCGTGACCCCCTCCCGCCCTGGCCGTACCCACGATGGTGTCGTAGCCCTCGGGGAAGCTGCGGATGAAGCCGTCGGCGTTGGCGAGCCGGGCAGCCTCGTACACCTCGGCATCAGAGGCTCCGGGCTTCCCAAAGCGGATGTTCTCCATGATGGTTGTGCCAAACAGCACCGGCTCCTGCAGCAAAACCTGGCTCTCAGCACGGAGCTCCAGCCAGGACCACCTCCCTCCCTTCCCCAGGGACAGCCAGGTGTCCTGGCCAGCACCACTCCTGTCCCCACCTGGCTGATGAAGCCGATGACCTGCCCCCGCAGCCAGGAGGGGTCCAGGCCGGCGATGTCGTGCCCGTCCAGGGTGATGGTTCCCTCCGTGGGCTCGTAGAACCGCTCCAGCAGCGCTGCCACCGTTGACTTCCCTGGGGAGGGGACACTGAGCCCCCTGCTCCTGGCTCCAGCAGCACTGGGGGGTTCCCAGCCCTGGCATACACTGGGCAGAGCACTGGGGTGCAGGAGGATGCACCCAGGGAGAGGGTGGGGGGTACTGGTACCTCCTCCAGAGGGGCCCACGATGGCCACGGTCTGGCAGGGGGGCAGGGTGAGGCTGAAGTCCTGCAGGACAGGGTAGCCAGGCCGGGTGGGATAACTGCAGAGAGGGGAGAAGGGGCCGCAGAGCTGTGGGGACATGGTGCCAATCCCCCCGTCGATAGGGTGGCTCAGGGAGCCATGGGAGGCCAGGCAAGGATTGGCCAGGTGGGACTCACCTGAAGGAGATGTGGTTGAAGCAGATGCGTCCGTGCAGGGAGTGGGCAGGGATGGAGGCTCCCCCCTCCAGTGGCACAGAGGGCTCCAGTTTCAGCAGCTCGAAGACACGGGCACCAGCACTCAGACCCCGCACCACCTGTAGGGGGACAGCAGGAGAACCTCATGGTCCCCCAGACCCCACACCACCCACAGGGAGGGTGTGAATGCACCCCCGGAGCCCCAAACCTGAACCTCCAGCCTCAGGGGCTGCCAGGACCCCTCACCCCACCTACCTGGCCCATCAGGACGGAGATGTTGGCCAAGGACCTGGGATGCACAAGGGCAGAGATTGAGCTCAGGGCTGTGTCCAGGCAGGCTGCAGGGTACAGAGGGTGCCAGGGGTACTGGGGGTACCACTGGGCGCTGCCCTGACCTTTGCACTGTCTGTGAAGCCACCAGGAAGGACATGAGGTCACCAGGTGAGAGCTCGTCTCCAGCCATCAGGGAGCCACCGACAAAGATGGTTCCCAGCACGATGCCTGTGGGGTAGGGGCAGAGCTGGGGTTGGAAGGGGACATGCAGACATGGAGGAGGTCCTGCCCAAGGAAGTCCCACCCCACAGCACCCCAGGTCCCACTCTGTGACCCCCACTGACCATTGAGCGCCAGGTTGGAGAGCCCCTGGAAGACGGCGATGCCCAGTCCCAGCTCCTCACTCAGATGTCCAGCACGGTCCACCTCGGCACAGAACAGCCTGGGGCAGGGATGGGCTGGGGTCCCCACTGCCACAGCCCCACCACCCCCAAACCCCTCATCCTCCCCCTTCTCCTTCCCCCTACCGTGCCTGCTGCTCCTCCATGGCAAAGGCACGCACAGTCCGCACATTGCCCAGCGCCTCGTCGGCCACCACAGTGGCCTTGGCCACCTGCAGGGATAGGGGGGACGGTGGGGACACCCCACACTGTGGCCCTCGGGGGTGGCAGGACAGGGGGTCCCAGGTGAGAGTTACCTGCTCCTGTGCCTGGCGGGAGAGGCTGCGGAGGAAGGCGCCGATGAAGGCACCGGCGCACACCAGCGCCGGCAGCGCCACGAGCAGGAGCCCGGTGAGCTTGGGCGAGAGCAGGTACAGCGACACGAAGCAGCCCGCGGTCTGGGTGCCACTGCGCAGGCCCTGGGGCGGGGGGCACAGTGGGCGGTGGGGCAGGGGCATGGGGGACCACCGGGATTGCCCAGAAGATAGCTGGGCTCACCTGGGAGATGGCCACACTCACCTGGGAGATGGCCAGCTTGAAGGAAGACTTGAACTCCTGGATGTCGGCCGTCAGCCGTGCCACCAGCTGGCCCGTGCGTGTGGCATCGAAGAAGGCCACCTCCTGCCTGCCGGGGAGCAGTGGGTGGGGGTCCCTGCGTGCCCATCTCCCCCGGCCCCCATCCCCGCTGGGGTTACCTGAGCAGGGCACTGAAGAGCGCCTTGCGCATGTTGCCGGCCACCCGCTCGCCGACGCGGGCCAGCAGCGCGATGTACCCGAAGGTCAGCAGGCCCTGCGGGACGGGGTGTCAGGAGGGCTGGGGGGCTCCCCCAGGACCCCCCACCCACTCTTTCGGGGGTCAGCACTCACCTGCAGGCAGTAGACGGCGAAGAGGCGCAGGGCAGGGCGCCGCACCTCCCGCAGGTAGGTGGGAACGTGGCCGCGGGCACATCGGGCCACCACGTTCACCAGCTGGCCCAGCAGCACCGGGATGTGCACGTTGAGCAGGGCTGCACCCAGCGCCAGCTGCGGGGGGACAGACAGGGACAGCAGTGTCACGGCACTGGGACAGCAGCACGGAGGGTGTCAGGCCACTGCACCGGGACAGCAGGTGGTCTGGCACAGCACTGGGACACTGGGTGTCACACCATGGCATGGGGACAGCGGGTGTCATACCATGGCACCGGGACACTGGGTGTCACACCATGGCATGGGGACAGCGGGTGTCACGCCCCTGCACAGGGACCGTGGCCATCACGCTGTGGCACTAGGACAGTGATGGCCAGTGACAGCACTGGGATGGCAGGTGTCATACTATGTCAATGGGACAGTGGCAGTGGTACAGGACAATGTGTTATTCCACAGCACAGGTGTGACACAGGGACAACGGGGACAAGGGCGACCATGGCCACCCACTCGCCCCTGCTCACCACAACAGCAGCTGAGAGTGCCAGGAGCTGCGGGCGCAGGAAGGTCCAGAATAGTGGCCAGTCAAAGAGGGGCTCCGGGGGGGACTCTGGAGGCTCGGGAGCACCGGGGGAGACGGCGGGGACAGTGGCCTCCTGGCAGCGTGCAGCCGTGCGCAGCAGCCCCAGCACCACGCAGCCCGTGGCCGAGCCGGCCAGGAGCAGGCGGCGGGGGGCCGGCATTGCTGGGGGCAGCCGGGGGGGCCCGGCCAGCCCCAGGCGCACCCCATAGCTGAAACTGGGGAGAGGGGTGAGTGAAGGGTGCCCGAACTGCGGGATCACCCCAGGGACCTGCGGATCCCATGTCCCCCCACCAAGAGTTGTGTTCCTGCCTCAAGTGACCCAAGAGTCCTGGCTCCCCCCACCAAGAGTTGGGGTGCCCCCACCACCCAAGGGGCCCTGGGAACCTTCCGGCCACCCCAGCACTGCAGAGCCCGAGCTCCCCACGCCGCACCACGCCCAGAGTCGGGGTCATCCTCTCGAGGTGCCCCGGGGCTCCCCAGAACCTGCCCGGTGCTGCCCCGCCCTGACCCTCCTCCCGCTGCTACGGGAAGCCCACGGACCCCTTAACTTCCTGGGAACCCCGGCCTCCCCGTGGTCCTCCCGCGGGGATCCAGGAGTTCCCGGGACCCCTGACTCCCCCGCAGCCCCGCTCGCACCCCCGGGACCCCCGCGACCTCCGAGCCTGGGCTCCTCCCAGCAAGATCGGGGGTCCCCGCGCTCCAAGGGACCCCGGGATCCTCCCGGGATGCCCTGCGCTGCCCCGGTACCTGCGCCGCGGGACGGAGGGCGGCCGGAGCCGGGCCCAAGCGCCCGCAGCCCGCAGCAAGAGCACCGGCAGCGGCATGGCGGCACCGGGCGGGGGCGGCACCGAGAGACATGGGGCGGCACCGGGGGCGGCACCGGGACACACAGGGCGGGCCCGGGGCGGGCTGTGGGCGGCACCGGGGAGGGCCGGGGCGGTCCCGGGCGGGCGGAGCCCCAACACCGCGGCCCGGGCCCTGCGCCGGCCCCGACCCGCACCGGCTCCTCGGGCCCTTTCCCGAGCTCCGTGCCCTGACCCCGGTCCCGGCACATCCGCTCCTCCCCGGGGCCGCCTCCGGAACCCCCAGACCTGCAGCGGAGCTCAGACCGCACACCGGTACCCCTGACCCCCGGGGCTGCCGTCGGTGCTGCCATGGCCGGCGGCGGGACCCTGGGCGGGCGTGGGGCCCCGTGAGCGTCCGGGACAGCGGGGAGCAGCCAGCACCGGGCGGCCAGGTGAGCAGGGACGGGGAGCGGGTCCCGAGGCTGGCACAGCCCCGCTGTCCCCGGGCGGGTCACACCGCTCCTTCCCGGGGTCAGGGACGGATTGTCCTTGCACCGTGGGGTGCCCGTGTCCCCACGCGGGGGTCACTGGCGAGCCCCGTCCGTGTCCTTACGGCGCAGCCATGTGTCGCCACTGGGGCTCTTGTCACCACGGGGCTGTCACCCTGCCGTGTCCCCGCGGGCAGGTGTCGCGGGGGTCCCCGTGACGCAGGGGAAGCTGAGGAAACACACGCGTGTCCCGGCAGGGTCACCGGGGCCATCGCCCCTGGGCTCTGTCCCTGGCCCCGGGGGTGTCCCGGCTGCCCGGCCCCGGCCTGGGGATCCCCACGGCCCCCCCACCGTTTACACTCTCGGGCTATTTTCGGGCTCCGCGGGTATTTTTGGCTTCCCGAAGCGGAGCTGGGGACGGGCCGTGCCGGTGTCACCCGCCGGGACACCCGATCCCGGGGGACGCGGCCGCTGTCCCCAAGGGGGTGTTGCACAAGGAGGGGGTCGGGTCCCTCTTGCTGCATCAGCCCCGCGCCGTGAGTCAGCCCCGGACAGGTGGGGCCGGACGGTGTCACCTGCGGCCACTGGCCTGGCCGGACACCGGCTGTGGCCAGCGCGGGGGACGCTGGTGACTCGCGGCGCTGCGGTAAGGGTCCTGCTCCAGGGGTGGGGGTCCCATCCTTCCCCAGGGGCTGATGCTCCCATCCAAGGGCTTGGGGTCCCTTCCAAGAGTTTTGGGTCCCGTCCTCCCCTGTGGGGGGGTTGTCCCCTTCCCCAAGGTCCGGGGTCCTGCCCTGCCCCGGGGGGGTGGGGGGTCCAGTCCTTCCCCGGGCCGGGGGTCTGCAAGGCACTGAGCGGCCACCAAGGCTCAGGACTGGTCCTGAGCTGGTCCCTCTCTGGGCTGCTGCCCCAGCTCCCGAGGCGATGTGTCTGTGGTGAGGGGGGTCTGTGGGCACACATGGGGAGGGGGGTCTATGGGGAGGAAGGGTGTGGGGGCTGTGGACACGGGGGTCAGTGGGGGGAGGTGTCCCCCACTCGGACTGAGCAGCACAGCGTGGCCCGGGGGACAGCTGGGGGAAGTGTTGGGGTCCCTCAGACCGTGCAGGGGGTCCCTGCCGGGGAGCCCCGGGAAGCCCTGCAGGGTCACGGCAGGCTCTGGCACTGGCCTGGCCGGTGGGACAGGACGGGCCGGTGGCACCTGCGGTGTCACCTGCCCGCGGCCGGGGCCAGCTCAGGCCACCCGAATTCAGGGCACGCGGGCGGCGCTGCGGCACCCCAGTGGCATTTCCGGTGCCCCACACCTGCCCCCCGGCCCCCTCCGCCCCACACCTGCCTCATCGCGGCGGCCCCGTCGCGGCCGCAGGTGCTCACGTTCCCCGGCAGGTGATGGAGCAGGGAGAAGAGGATCGGGAGTACCGGGAATACCGGCGGCTGGAGGAGTGTGAGGAGGACTCACCCCCCGGCGAGGAGGAGGAGGAGCAGCTGCTGCTGCACGTCACTGAAGGACCGACAGGTACTGGGGTCCCACCTGGTGGGGGATCCAGGGTTCCCGTGGGCTGTCTGGGGACCCCATGTGGGTGTTTTTGGGTCCTTGGTGGGGCGCGGGGGTGCCAGGTGGGAGGGACGGTACCACATTCCCTCCTGACCCCCCCCCGTGTTTTTCCCCCAGACTCGTGGCACCACGTTAAGGACCTGGACAGTTTCTTCACCAAGATATCCTGTCACAGCACCCAGTGGCACTGTGGGGGATGTGGGGGAACATGGGGTGACTCTGGGGATGGGGGTGGACACGGGGGATCCATGACCCCTTCACAGTCTCCTTAACCCCCCCCACATCTACCAGTTCCACCAGAGGAATGGCTTTGCCTGCGTCCTGCTCTCAGATGTCCTTGAGCTGGTGTAAGTGACCCCCATTGTCACCGTGCGGTGCCACACGGCTGTGACACAGGGGTCCCACTGACCCCCCGTGCCCCCAGGCAGTTCCTGTTCGTCGTCACCTTCAGCACGTTCCTGCTGTGCTGTGTGGACTACGATGTCCTGTTTGCCACCCGCCCCCTCAACCACAGCCACGTCCCCGAGCGCGCCAAGGTGACACTGCCCGACGCCGTGCTGCCCGCCCCGCAGTGCGCCAGCAGGTGGGCAGGGGACACTGGGGGAGCTGTGCAGGGGTCTCGGTGACACGCATGTCCCCAAAGGGTCAGTGGCTGTGGGTGGCTACTCCTCCTGCTGCTGCCTGCATGGCCATGCAAAGGTCCAAGTGCCACTAGAGTGGGTTTGTGGGGGTCGGGGTGCCACTGGTGCTGTGGGTGACGTGTGTCCCCAGCAGTCTCTGAGACAGCAGATGGCTGTGAGGCGGCTGGTGGCACTGGTGACATCTGTGTTTCTGCAGGCTTCAGGGCAGTGGGTGGCTGCTGTCACCTCTGTGAAGGGTTTCTTGGCACTGCTGACACTTGTGTCCCCACAGGCTTCATGTCAGCAGGTGGCTTCTGGTTCTGCTGGCACTTGTGTGGCTGTGGGGGGGTCCCAGTGGCACTGGTGACACCTGTGTCTTTTTGGCAGGCTCTGTGGCAGTGGTTGGCAGGTGGCCACGGGGGGTTGGTGGCGCTGGTGACACCCGTGTCCCCGCAGGCTCCGTGGCAGCGGGTGGCTGCTGTTCCTGCTGGTGCTGGCGGGCGCAGTGTGGCTGTGCCGCCTGGTCACGGCGCTCCGGCGCCTCGTGGGCTACTGGGAGATCCGGAGCTTCTACATCCGTGCGCTCGGCATCCCCGCGGTGAGGGGCTGGGGCTGGGCCGGGGCCGAGGGGGGGCCGGGGGTCCGGCTGGGCCGAGCGGTGCCACGCGGCGCCGGGCCATGCTGAGTCACAGCGGTGCCACACGGCACTGAGCTGTGCCACGGCGTGCCCGGTGCCAACGCCAGTGCCGCTGTCCCAGGAGGAGCTGTGTAACCACAGCTGGCAGTCGGTGCAGGCCCGGCTGCTGGCGCTGCAGCGGCGCCAGCCCCTGTGCGTTCCGCGCCGGGAGCTGACGGAGCTCGACATCCACCACCGCATCCTGCGCTTCCGCAACTACACCGTGGCCATGGTCAACAAATCCCTGCTGCCCGTGCGCTTCCGCCTGCCGCTGCTCGGCCCCGTCGTGTTCCTCACGCGGGGGCTGCAGTTCAACCTGGAGCTGCTGCTGTTCCGCGGCCCGGCCGCGCTCTTCCAGAACACCTGGAGCCTGCGGCCGCAGGTGAAGCGGGCGGGCGCGCGGCGGGCGCTGGCCCGGGGGCTGGCACGGGCGGCCGTGCTGCTGGGGGTGGCCAACCTGGCGCTGTGCCCCTGCGTGCTGGGCTGGCGCCTGCTCCTGGCCTTCTTCAGCTACGCCGAGGGGCTGAAGCGGGCGCCGGGCAGCCTGGGCGCTCGCCGCTGGTCGCTCTACGCCCGCCACTACCTGCGCCACTTCAACGAGCTGGGCCACGAGCTGCAGGCGCGGCTGGGCCGCGGCCACGCGCCGGCCACCAAGTACATGGACTCGTTCAGCAGCCCGCTGCTGGCCGTGCTGGCTCGCCACGTCGGCTTCTTCGCCGGCTCCGTGCTGGCCGTGCTCATCGTACTCACCGTGTACGACGAGGACGTGCTGACGGTGCAGCACATCCTGACAGCCATCACGCTGCTGGGGCTCGTGGTCACCGTGGCCAGGTGGGTGCTGGGTTGGTGGTCACCGTGGCCAGGTGGGTGCTGGGTTGGTGGTCACCGTGGCCAGGTGGATGGGCCAGGCTCTGTGCTGTGCCGTGCTGTGCTGAGTGGCAGTGGGAGACTCAGGTGGGACCCCGCCTGTTCCCCTCCAGGTCCTTCATCCCAGACGAGCACGCCGTGTGGTGCCCGGAGCAGCTGCTGCAGCGGGTCCTGGCACACGTGCATTACCTGCCCGAGCACTGGCAGGGCCGCGCCGGCCGTGCCGAGACACGGGCAGAGATGGCACAGCTCTTCCAGTACAAGGCGGTGGGTGCAGCCCCCCGCTTCCCGAGACCCTCCTCCCCAGGACCCCATTCCCCTGGCACCATCCTCTCCCCACCCCCAGGAGTGCACAGACTGGGAGCCCCCCGCCCTGGGACTCCCCACATCAGGATCCCCAGCCTGGACTCCTCAACACTGAGACCCCTTGCTCCAAGAACCCATTGCCCTGGAATCCCCATCCCCAAGACCCCACGGACTGGGAGCTCCCTGTGCCAGGATCCTATAAACTGGGATCCACCACGCTGGGACCCTCCTGGTCCAAGACTCCCCATTCCTGAGGCACCCCCTTCCCAGGAGCCCCCCACCCTGAGATCCCTTCACCCCGGGGCAGCGCTGCCCCTCCTCAGGATCCCCTGCCCTGGACATCCCACCCCAGGACTTCTGAATCTGGGACCTCCGCCCGGGACACCCCCAGATCCCACTGCCCCCCCATGCAGGTTTTCATCCTGGAGGAGCTGCTGAGCCCTCTCGTGACCCCCCTGATCCTCATCTTCGCGTTTCCCCCCCGCGCCCTCGACATCGTGGACTTCTTCCGCAACTTCACGGTGGAGGTGGCGGGGGTGGGCGACATCTGCTCCTTCGCGCAGCTGGACGTGCGGCACCACGGCAACCCCCAGGTGGGCGCGGGGGGCCCGGGGAGGCGTTGCGGGGCTGCGTGTGTGCCCTGCGGGGGTGTGCCACGTCCCTGTGCCCGCAGTGGCTGTCGGAGGGACACACGGAGGCGCCCCCGGAGCGCCAGGCGGAGCACGGCAAGACGGAGCTGTCGCTGATGCGCTTCGCCCTGAGCAACCCCCGGTGGCGGCCGCCGCCGCCCGCCCGCCGCTTCCTCGGCCACCTCCAGGCGCAGGTGACCCGCGACGCGGCCACCGCGCCCCCCCCGCGGCACCTGCTAGCCGAGGGGCCACTGGCCGCCTCCCTTCTGTCCGAGGACTCGGCCCTGGCGGTGAGTGGGGGCGCTTCGGGGGGGGCTGCGGGATGTTTTGGGTGTCCCTCTGACGAATGTCCCCGTAGCCCGAGGGGCTGGTGGCCAGTGTCCTGGCGGCCAGCGGGCTGGTGGCCCGGGAGCCGCGCTTTGGGCAGCCCTGCAGCACGGCCAGCGCCACCGCCAGCCTGCTGGCATCCCTGCGGAACCCCCTGGGGACCCCGCCCTGCGGAGCCCCGGACAGCCCCGGGGAGCAGCCGTGCCCCGAGGACAGGAGCGTGATGGGGACGGGGGGGACATGGCTGGGAAGGGTGTCCGGGCAGTGAGGGGTGGCACTGAGGGGGGCTCTCATGATGGGAAGCAGTGTTGTGGTGGGCATGGGGGGTCGTGGTGGGGAGGGGAAGGAGTGTCACGGAGGGGGTGTCACTGAGGGAAGGGGTGGCGGGGAGGGATGTTGTGGCAGGGAAGGGGTGTCACAGCGAGGGGGGGGTGCTGCTGCGGGGGTGTCACCTCGTGTCTCCCCGCGCCGCCCCTCCCGTGCCCCAAGGCCGGCGCTGAGTGAGTCGCGGCTGCGCAGCCTGAGCCGCTCGGCGCTGCTGGCCGAGGTGGCCTCGGCCGAGATGAGCCTTCACGCCATCTACCTGCACCAGGTGTGTCACCTGCCGTTCCCGGGATCCCCCTGCCCACAGCACCCCGGGGCAGGTCCCTGCGGGTTCCCTGGTGTCCCCAGAGTGTCACTGTCTGGGTGCTCTGCCTCATCCCCTGGGAGTCCTGCCTGGCCCTGGTCTCTTGTTCCCAGCGCCATTCCAGGCTGTCCCCACCTTCTCTGTCCCACTGGATGACACCCACCCACCGTTCTTGGTCACTGCCAGCTGGGGATGAGGCACCGCGGCTGCTGTCACCCATGTGACAGCCCTTTCTGCCACCCCTTTGGGGCTGGGGAGTGTCCCGGGCTGAGGGACCCCTGCCCTGCTGCCCCGTGGGGAGGCTCTGAGTGCCTCTGGGGGTGATCTGAGCACTGATCTGGGCTTTCGGCTATTCCTTGCCCCCTGTCCCCCCCCAGCTCCACCAGCAGCAGCAGCAGCAGCCGCAGGGCCCCGGCCCCCAGCCCGCGGGGGCACCCAAACACCCCTTCGTGACCACAGGTGAGCACGAGCCCGGGGGTGTCCCAGGGGTGGGGGGACACTGCTGATAGCAGTGGGGGGTTCTGGGGGTCCTGACCCCCCTGTGCCCTCCAGGCTCGGCTGCCCGGGCCTCGCAGCTGCGGGAGATGCCGCTGGGCGGGTGGGCCGAGGAGGAAGAGGAGGAGGAAGAGGAGACGATGACGTAGCTGGACCCAGCTCTGGTGAGTAGGGACACGGGAGAGCGGTGACCTCGGATGGGGACATGGTGACCCCCGGGGCTGAGGGTACAGGGACCCCTGGCACTGGGACACGGACACTGCTGGGCTGGGGGTCAGTGGGCTCGGGCTGCCACGTGTGTTGGGGTGCCCAGTGCCGGGGTCCCCCCTCGGGGGTCTCCATTCTGGGGTCCCTGCTGACACCCCGTTCCCTCCGCAGGGTCCTGGTTGTGCCGAGACCCCCCCGGAGGTGCCGGGGGAGCCGCCAGGGGCACAGTGGGGGGCTCGCCGTGCCCACTATGCTGCCAGGGGGGCCCTGTCCGTGGGAGCCCCCTGCTCGGGGCGTCCCTGGTGCCCCCACTACGGTGCAGAGGCGGGGGTGCTGCCAGGGGTCCCCTCAGGTGCTGTTTTTGGGGAAGCACAGAGCTGGTGCCCCCCGTGGTGCCCCGTGCACCAGCTGAAATAAAGGTTTACAGAAGGGCTGTGCCCACTGGCTGCGCCTGGGGGTCCTGGGGGGGTTAAGGCCACGGATGGGGCCATGGCAGTTTGGGGTGGCACTGGGGGCTGTGGGCAGGTGGCAGGGGGTGCACTGACCTGCAGCCACACAGGTGGGAGCCACAGGACCATGGCCATGGCCCCCTCCCATCATTTCCAGCCTTCAGAGCCACAGGACCCTGCCTGTGTCCTTTTGCGCCCCATTTCCCACCCCGGGTGTCTGGAGCATGGCCAGGTGACCCCAGAGGTGTCACAAAGCCCGTCTGTCCCTGTGCCACCTCCCACGTCCCCAGTGCCACCGCGGGAGCCGAAGTGTCAGGCCGGGGGTATCAAAACTAAACCTTTACTGGGGGTGGCGGGACGGGGGGCACAGCCGCAGGGACCCCCGTGTCCCCCTGTCCCTCGTGTCCCCGCGCTCAGGGCGGGCCCGGCGGGCGCCGCTCCTGCAGGGAGAAGGACTGGCTGCGGATGCGCAGGGCCACCTCCTGCGTGCGGAACGTCAGCCCGAAGATGTCCTCGTGGTAGCGGTTCTTGTCCTGCGGGACAGCGGTCAGCCCCGGGTGCCCACAGGTGTCCCCCGTGGTGTTCCCGTGTCCCAGCCCTTACCCTCAGCTCGCTGATGACGTCCCCCGCCTGCCCCAGTGTCATGTCGCCTTCCTGGGCCAGGATGTGCTGCACGGTCTGCAGCACCTCGGTGGCCATGGTGACGTCCCCGCACACGTACATGTGGCCGCCGTGCTGGCAGAGCACCTGGTGCACCTCGGCCGCCAGCTGTGCCCGCAGCACGTCCTGCACGTACGTCTGGGGACACACAGGGACCATGGCATCCTGCACCCACCCCACCTGTCCCCAGCTCCCCATCCCCACCCTGATCCTTAATGTGCTGTCCCTGTTCTTGTCTGTGTCCCCAACCCCAGCCTGTGGCTTAGCATCCCCCACCAGTCCCTGTCCCCTCCATTTCCATCCTCACCTTGTCCTGGTCCCCACCACACCTCCCTCCCTGTCTCCATCCCCCTCCTCAGTCACCACCCCCATCCCAGCCCTGTCCCCGTCTCACCTTGGGGGTCCCGGGCTCACGGGAGAAGGCCGTGAGCACCTGGCTGAGAGCACCCTGCTCCCGCGCCTGCTCCATCTCCTCACGGTAAATGTGGTCCAGGGCGGACGAGCGGCACCCGAACACCAGCACCATGGGGCCCAGGGGGCCACCTGCAGGGGGACAGTGTCCTCGTGTCCCCTCACCCCGTGTCCCTACAGCCCCGCTCACCCCTGTCCCCACATCCCCCCCATCCCCATGTGCCCCACGCCCCTGCATCCCTCCCATCCCCGGGTCCCTGTCCCAGTCCCCACCTGTCCCCCCATCTCCATGTCACTGTTTCTCCATCCCCTTCTCCCTGTCCCCAGCCCCTGTCCCTGTCCCCAGCCCCGTGTCCGCATGTCCCCCTGTCCCACCTCCGGCGCTCAGCAGCTGCAGCCGGTGCTGCCAGAAGCTGCGGAAGGGCGCGACTCCGGTGCCGGGGCCCACGAGGATGCAGGGGGTGTCGGGGGCGGGCGGCAGCCGGAACGAGGGGGCCCTGCAGCAGCCGGGGGTCACTTGGGGGGACCTTGAGCCCGGCCCCGGGTGGGGATGTGGGGAAATGGGGTGGGGGTAGGCAGGGGACATGTAGGGGAACGGTTGAGGAGGACAGGCAGGGCTGGCAGGCAGAGGGACAGGGATGGCAGACGGGGACAGGGAGGGCAGGCAGGGGACACACGCGGCAGGAGTGATCCCTTACCCCCGGATGAAGGCTGGCACCGTGTCCCCCGGCTGCAGCCGCGCCAGCCACGTGGAGCAGACGCCGTAGTGGAGGGGACCCTGTCCGTCTGTGGGGACCAGAGGGGGCCGGTGGGGCCGCGGCGGGTGGCGCTCCCAAAGGCAGCCCCTCACAGAGCCCCCGCAAAGGCTGGGGACTCCTCTGTGCCCGGGCAGGGCTGGCGGATGGGGGCACCTGAAGGTGCTCTGGGCACACTGGAGATTTTCGGGAAGCTCTGGAGATGAGCTGGAGGTGCCCTGGAGCCCCCGAAGATGCCCTGGAGGTGCCGCACCGCTCCCGTCCCCCTCCCCGTCCCCTTCCCCGTGCCCATCCCCGCTCACTCTCGCTGTGGTAGGTGACGACGGCCACGGTGAGGTGGATCTCGCCCGGGTGGGCGCCGGGCGCGGAGCTGATGGAGTAGTAGCGGGGCTGGAGCAGCGGGAGCTGGGAGAGCAGCAGCGCGGCCGGCAGAGCCACGGACGGGAACTCGGCCAACACCTCCGGCAGCGTCGGGCACCGGAACCACTTCCACTCCTCGTACAGCCGCGCGTCCTGCGGCCACAAGGCTGGGACACCGGGGACCCCCCACTCGGCCCCGGGGACCCCCAGAGCCTGGCACCAGACCGAGGGGACCAGCAGCCAGCTCGGGGTGGGGGGCAGCATCCCGGGATCCAGACGGCGAGGTAACTGGCATCCCAGCAGCCCAGAATGCCAGCCAGCGAGGGGGAGGCATCACCCCAGTGTCCCAGCACCCCCAGCCCCTCTCCAGGTGATCCCCCACCCCCTCACCTGCGCCAGGCGCTGGAGCCGCTCCCGCTCCGCGGGGTCCTGCGCCAGCGAGCTCAGGAGCTGCAGGAACTGCGGGGTCGGGGGGGTCGCCACGTCCAGGTAGAAGGTGAGAGCCTGGGCCAGGGTGCAGGGGGGCAGCCGGGGCTGCAGCACCCAGCGGGGCCCGGGGCTGGACCCGCCTGGGGAGGGGAGGGATTGTGGTGCTTTGTTCTGTCCTGTATCCTTCCCAAGGCCCTTCCTCTTTTCCTTCTTCCTCTTCCTCAGCCCCTTCCCATTCCTTTCCCCTGCCCTAATTTCTTCTCTTTCCCCTCCTCATTCTCTTCCCAAGCCTCAGCCCCTCCCCATTTTCTCTCGGTCCGTAGCGGCGGGACCCCCTCCGGTACCGGCGGGGTTCCCCGGTTCCCCCCAACCCCCCCGTGTCCCCCCGAACCGGCGGGGTTCCCCGGTTTCCCCCAATCCCCCCGTGCCCCCCCGTACCGGCGGGATCCCACTCGCGGCTCTCCATCGCCAGGGGCTGCTCGGGGGGGGGCGGGTCCTCCACACGCTCCAGGACCCCCCGCACCAGCTCCTCGCGGTTGGCGGGGAACACGCCCAGGTGGTCCCCGGGCAGGTGCCGCAGCCCGGCCTGATCCGCACAGCTCAGCCGCACCAGCAGCGTCTGCCGGCTGGGGGCAGGGGGGTCAGGGGGTTCTGAGGGGCCAGGGGGGGTCAGGG